ATGGATGAAGACATTTTGGGGTTATGGTTTATAGAAAGTCCCACTTGCTGTGGAATTCCTGGAACACCTGCAGTGCCCCAAAGAGGCTTCTTATTACCGTGCTCTTCCCTTCCCGGAGCGCTCTTCTGTGTACTGTCATGTGCTCAGGAACGCATTTATCAGGACTTGTTTGACACACTGTTTTTTGTTTTTTTTTTTTGAGACCAAGGTCTCACTCTGCTGCCTGGACTAGAGTGCTGTGGTGTTATAGCTCACAGTAACCTCAAGCTCTTGGGCTTGAGCAGTCCAGCTTCTTGAGTAGCCGGGACCACAGGTGTGCACCACCACACTGGCTTGTTTTCCTACTTTTAGTAGAGACAGGGTCTCACTCTTGCTCAGGCTGGTCTCGAACTCCTGAGCTCAAGTGATCCACCTGCCCTGGCCTCCCAGAGTTCATCAACTAATGAACAACAATGTGTGAACATCTATATAATGAAATACTATTCTGTCAGGCATGAGCCACTGTGCTGGCCTTTGACATGCTATTATATCTGGTGCAGTCTTAGCCAAATGCCCCACTCCCAGCCTCCATCACCAGTTCCTAACATGAATGCAGCCTCTTGCTGTTCTCCAGCTCTGACGACATTAGCATTACTCATTTACAGTTTGTCCTCACTAATTCAGTGGTAACCTGTTAACATTTTCTAATGCTCCCTTCCTAAAACAGTGTAACATTTTGAGTAACGGCTCAAGTGTTAGTTTATTGTATCAGTAAAGAAAACCTGTTAGAAATAAGGACCTATGGAACGGAATTTTAAAATAGGCTACTGTTTATTACTACCTCAAACTATGCTTCTTTTAGGTTAGTTTAATTTTGCATTTTAAGAAGCTATGGATAGAGTTTGAGTCTTTTGTTTCTTAACATAAAAAAGAATATTGCTTGGACATCTCCTGGACCCCAGCTCTTGCAGTCTGCCTAGATTACAGGTGTTCTTCTGCAGTTGGGATGGTTTTAGCCTCTTTGTGTCACAGGGGTGAAGAATCATTTTGATGCTAATAGTGGAAAGATCACAGTAGGAATGATGTCTTAAATGAAAAAGAAAACAGCTGCAGGTAGAGAAGCAGCCACCTTGCTTCTGGAGAGGCGTTGTTTATTTCGGGAGTGGTGTGGATGCAGGGTCTCCTGGTGGCCTTCCTCCCCATCAGTCAGGATCTGCCTGTGACGACATCAGCTCTCACTCATGATGGTCACAGACCATAGTCCTTCCCTAGGTTGTGAGAGGGGATGGAACTTTTATTAGCAGCCAGTCTAATTCTCCTCCATAAAAAGAGGCTGTTTTTCCTGCCTTTTAATTTTTCAACAGTAAGTGTTTCTCCCTGTAGAACCAAGGAGAAAGATTTCTTTCTGCAGCGGGAACAAAGAGGGCAGAGTTCTGGAGATTTGGTTTGAAGAAAATGGCTATTTATGTGATAAAAAACAGATTGGACTAATAACCATACTATTCTTGGTCCCTTTTAGGCAAATACCTTAATGTTGCAGAAACCAGCTAGGGTGCCAGAATCACACATTTTTGTCTTTATGTCCTGGAGATACTGTCAGACTAAGAAAAAATATCCTTTGCTACAGGTGACAGAAATGTTTGGAGATCTACCAGGATATGAAATAGTATCAGCATCCACAAGAGCAACCCCCAAATGAGATTTCCTCAGCATCATTCTTTTCCTAGTGATTATAAGACATCGGGACTTTGGGCATAATTTGTAATGTTGAGTATACTCTGAAATTCTTTTTTTAATTGAATAATCCCTGTCTATCAGCTTCAAATTTAAAGATGGTTAATTTGATTTAATTTAGCTGCTTGGGGGATAATTAGTATGTGTTTTTTGAGAAATTTTAAAGAAGGTAGCAAGTTTTAGAAGTGCTGCTGTGATAGGTAGTACGAAGTGGCCTCGTGGTCTTACAGCAACGCTCACGTGCTGTTTGAGTCTGTTTGTCAGTGTGTAGGTTGTGATTGTCAAGACGACAGTGCCTAGACCATCCTGCGAAGCAGTTTTGGAATTCTCTGTGGAGTGGCCGTCAAGCTGCTGTTGTGTGAAGGTCTGACAATTGAGTTTGCAAACTCATCCTAGAAAAAGTGCTTTGTTGAGTGGACTAGGCCCTCCTGTTGGTGCTAGCTTCCCAAAGGGAGCAGTTTGGAAGTCACTGTGGTGATACTTCAGCAATGAAGTATGTAGCTCTTTTTTTTCTTTTTAGAGACAGAGTCTCGCTTTGTTGCCCTCGGTAGAGAGCTGTTGTGTCACAGCTGACAGCAACCTCCAGCTCTTGGGCTTAGGCGATTCTCTTGTCTCAGCCTCTGGAGTAGCCGGGACTGCAGGCACCTGCCACAGTGCCCGGCTATTATTTTGTTGCAGTTTGGCTGGGGCTGGTTTTGAACCCACCACCCTCGGTATACGGTGCCCTACCCACTGAGCCACAGGTGCCAGCCACCCTGTAGCTCTTTTTCTAGGATGAATTCATGAACCAAACTGTTCATCCTCGTATGCTAAGTACTTTGAAATCATTGGGGCTCATTAAATCCCAAATGCTCTTTGTAATTACACCCTCAGATTGCTAAGTATTCTTTAAGGTATCGCTGAGCTCCTGCTATGTAACACACTCCCTCAAAACTCAGTGGCATGAAGCAGCAGGTATTCGCTATCGTTCATGAGCCTTCCATATCCTGGGTGGTCCTTCTGCCCTCGGCCAGTCGCACTCATGCTTGTGGCCAGCTGTGGCTCAACATGCTGACCTTAGCTGGTCTCTGTCACATGTGCAGGAATGAGCCAGGTGCAGGTTGACCAAGGATGGGTACAGCTGGGACACGGGGCTGTCATCCACACCACAGTTCACCCTCCAGCACACTGGCCCCTCTGGCTCAAGTGGTGTGGCAGGCTTCCCTGAGAGGGAGTGAGGGCAGGCAGAGCTTCCGGTCTCAGAACCAGTGCGCCATCACTTCAGCCATGTTCTGGTGGCCGGAGCATCACCAGCCAGCCCAGATTCAAGGCTCAGAGAAATCGATTCCATCTCTTGATGGAAAGAGCTGCAGAGTCACATCACAGAGGGCATGGAGTCAGGGAGGGCTAAAGAATTGGTCAGTCATATATATATATTTTCAATTATCTGTGACAAGTACTTACATATTATATTGCATGCTGTAGCTAGATCCAACTAAATATAAACCTTGAGACTAAGAGATTTTGTTAGAATCACCCTTCCTGTTCAGCACAAAAGTCAGGATTTTGTTGAACTAAGAGAGAACTTTAGAGTTAAACCTAGACCTTTCCATATTTTGGTATTATTTATTTATTTATTTTCTTAAAAAAATTTTTTTTTCATCTTTGGATTTATTTAGGGAAAAAAATGTAATTTGTAAGGCTATAGCTTCTCTAGGTAGTGATTCTTCTGATGGATCTCAGCAAAGTAAATCGAAAGCCTTCTGAAAAGGATTCACCATCTCAGATACCATTAAGAGCCTTCGTGCTTTGCGGAAGGAGATGAGAATACCAACACTAACAGGAGGCTGGAAGAAGTTGATTGCAACGCTGATGGATGACACCGAGGGGGTCAAGACTGCAGTGGAGGAAGTCACCCCAGGAGTGGCAGAAATAGCAAAGGAACTAGAAGGAGAAGTGGAGCCTGAGATGTGACGGTGCAGTTTCCTGATAGAACATGAACCGACGAGGAGTTGCTCCTTATACAGACACAAAGAGAATGGTTTCTTGAGATGGAATCTACTCCTGGTGAAGCTGCTGAGAACATTGTTGAAATGACAGGATTTGGAATATTACATGATTTTAGTTGACAAAGCAGTGGCGGGGTTAGCGCGGATTATCTCCAATTTGGAAAGAATTTCCTCTCTGGGTAAAATGCTGTCAAAGAGTATTGCATGTTACAGAGAAATCTTTTGGGAAAGTTAAGAGTCAATTGATGCAGCAAACTTTATGGTTATATTAATAAATTGCCACAGTCACCCCAACATCCGGCAGCCGCCACCATGACCAGTCAGCAGCCGTCAGTGTGGAGGCAAAACCCGCTGGCAGCTGAAAGATTAGGACTCAGTAAGGCTCAGATGATTGTTAGCATTTTTTAGCAATGAAGTGTTTTTTAATTACGGGATACTACTACACTCATTAGAACACAGTATATTGTAAACACATTTATCTATTCATTTATTTGTTTGTTTATTTGAGACAGTCTCATTTTGTCACCCTTGGTAGAGTGCTATGGCATCATAGCTCACCGCAACCTCAAACTCTTGGGCTCAAGCGATCCATTTGCCTCAGCTCTTGAGTCTCTGGGACTACAGGCACCCACCACAATGCCCAGCTATGAGTTTATAGATGGGGGTGTCACTCTTGCTCAGGTTGGTCTTGAACTCCTGAACTCAGGCAATCCATCCGCCCCAGGCCTGAGCCACTGTGCCCTGCCTAAATGTAACTTTTATATATACTGAGAAACCAAAACATTCATGTCACTTGCTTTATTGCAACATTTACTTTATTGCAGTGGTCTGGAACTGAACATGCAGTATCTCCAAGGAATCCCTGCATAATACTTTAAAAAAATAATAAACTGAGCATTTCATAAACATTTTTCTCAGGGATCCAGATCATCCCGACTATATTGAATGACAATATAAGCTATTGAATTACTGTATCATTAGCCCATTTCATTGTTTAACCTTTTTTCCTAATTTTTACTCTTTTGAGAATGCTCCTATGAACTTTTTAAGTGTGTAGTTTTTATTTCCTTTCTGTTATATAACTTGTTCAGGAACAGTTGCCAAGCCCGGAATTCCTGAATCAAGGCTTATCATTATTATTTTTGTCATTATGGTTATTATCATTTGGCAGATGTCTGCCTCACACTATGGAGCGAGAGTCTTGTTAGCAATGTCCGTTCTGCTTTACAGCATGGACAGAAAATTATGAGAGCCTTCGAAATGGCGTTGTGTTATTGTTTTGACTCGTTTCTTTGCTCTTCCGTGTGCAGCACTACATTTTAAACATATTTTAATCAGAAATATTTAAGGACATAAGATCCAACTTTGGCATTTTACTTATTTTGAAAATAAATGAATGATCTATAGTGCTGAAGAATGATAGACAAATAAAGGGGTGATGTGTATGTACGTTGTAGTTACGGACGTCCGTTTATAATGTTACTATCTTAGGTGGAGATGGCTTTTCTAATTGGTCTGCAGGATATATGGCAACTCAATGTAAGTCCCTGCTGCTCTAACCAGAAGGGCAAAGGAGCTGGATTGCAGCGGCCCTCCCCAGGAACAGGAGCAGGGGCAAGTTTGAAAAACATTTCTGTGGGCTCGGGAAGAAATGACACATTTCCTTTCCTAAGTACTTTTTGGAAAAATAGCTACCATTGTTTTAAAACAACTTAAACATAGAGCATAGAAAAGAATGAGCCTGTTTCTGAGGTTGTGATTTTTAAGGAAAGATTATTTTTTCTGGATTTACCAAGTCTTGGAATATGAAAAAAAAAAATTCAGACATCAGAAGAAAGTGGAATAAGCAGCAGAAAAACACAAAAGGAGTGTAAGTGTGGGTGGAGATTTGTCAAAATATGAAAGGGAAAATGAAGCGGTTTTATTTCATTTTCATGGAGACAGTGACTTAGACATTCATCTAGGCGGAAAATATTGTGATTTATGTAAAAATAAAACCATCTGATCAGGACACTAGTGATTAGGTGGTTTATTAATATCCTCCTAGAGATTTAAATAGTTTGCTCTTATAAAATTGTTTTTTCCTTTTTTTCTTCTTTTTTCAACTTAGGGAATAGTAGATTCTTACTTTTCAATTTGCTGAATAGTAAGGTTTTTTTTTGGAGACAGGGTCTCACTTTGTTGCCCTGGGTAGAGTGCTGTGACATCATAGCTCACAGCAACCTCAAACTCTTGGGCTCAAGTGATCCTCTTGCCTCAACCTCCCGAGTAGCTGGGACTACCAGTGCCTGCCACAGTGCCTGGCTATTTTTAGAGATGGAGTCCTGCTTTAGCTCAGACTAGTCTTTAACTCCTGAGCTCAGGCAATCCACCCCCCTCAGTCTCCCAGAGAGCTAGGATTAGAAGTAAGTTTTTTCAGTCTAGAATCTCTTAATTTTTGAGTAAGCAGCCCCACTTAAACCTATTTTTACAACCATGTGTTAAACTAATAAGAAATATTTTGGACATAATACAAAATAAATTTCTATATCACTCATAGAAAGTAGGCAACTCTGTTTAATACATAGGTTCTTGGGAGTGCTACAGTGTCAATGGTTAAACTTAATATTGGTTTGATATAATCTCGGAAGTGGATGATTTTAGCAGTGTGTAAGGAAGGGGAAGGTTTCAACTTGAAAAGAGAAGGAAGGGTGTTCCGTATGGACGTTGTGAATATAGGGGTTGAGCTGGCTATCAAGGCCAAGTGCCTAATTTGGAAACTCATTTCCAAACAAGGACGGCCTGGTTGTGATAAACAGTTTTCAAAGGAAACATCCTAAGAGATCAGGTTTTATTTATTTATTTTTCTGCTTTTGTTTTGAGACAGTGTCTCACTCTGTGCTCTGGGTAGAGTGCGGTGGTGTCATAGCTCACAGCAAGAGATGAGTTTTTTTAGTTGCGTCCTACGATGGGTCCAATTTATGCAGACCAAATGGTATGCTGATGTTTCAATACTTTTTTGGAAGTTGCTGAAGTCTGAGTGGGTTCCATTCTGCCCACTCAGTTCCACTGAGCTAGTTTAAACATCATCCTAAAGCTGTGTAAAATTAAAATCAGACTTTTCCAGGTTGAACGATTGGTTAGAAAAGATGATCTTTAAGATTTCTTCCTCACAACAGAATTCTCTGGTATCTGAATATTCCCCTTCTTTCCAAGAGTGCAGAGGAAGAGCAGGTGCCCCCAGTCCTTTGAACCCCCTACACAGTCATGATCCAAGATGTTGGGGTCAATTTGAGGAATTTCAGAATGCATTGGCATTCTGTTCTTCCTTAGACCTCCAAACCCTGACATACAGGTGCTGACAGAGTTACTCTCCTTAGGGTTCTCGTACAGATGACCCCAGTAAGCACAATAGCATCAATCTCACTGCAGTGCTACATCATCTTATTTACTGAGATGAATGAAGGTCAACTACTAGTCTTAATTTTCTTTTAATGATATGCAGTGGCTTGACGCCTGTGGCTCAAGTGGCTAAGGCGCCAGCCACATACACCTAAGGTGGTGGTTTCGAATCCAGCCCGGGCCCACCAAACAACAATGACGACTGCAACCAAAAAAAATAGCCAGGTGTTGTGGCGGGTGCCTGTGGTCCCAGCTACTTGGGAGGCAGAGGCAGGAGATTCACTTGAGTCCAGGAGTTGGAGGTTGCTGTGAGTTGTGATGCCACGGCACTCTACCCAGGGGACAGCTTGAGGCTCTGTCTCAAAAAAAAAAAAAATGATACGCAGTAATCTCTATGGATCTTAGGTATAGACGGACAACTTCTAACAAATGCATGGGAGCCTCACCACCCCCAGGAAGCTCCCTTATATCCTTTTATGTTCTGTCCCCAGAAACAACCACTATTCTGATTTTATCCCTGGTCTCTGACCAATCTTACTTGTCTTTTTTTAAATCTGGATCAGCAATTTTTTTTTTTTAATTGAGGCAGAGTCTCACTATGTTGCCCTGGGTGGAGTCCCATGGCATCACAGCTCACAGCAACCTCAAACTCTTGGGCTTAAGTGATTCTCTTGCCTCAGCCTTCCAAGTAGCTGGGGCTACAGGTGCCCTCCACAATACCTGGCTACTTTTTATTGCCGTTGTCATTGTTGTTTAGTTGGCCCGGGCTGGGTTCTAACTTGTCAGCCTTGGTGTATGTGGCTGGTGCTGTAACCACTGTGCTATATATAGGCGCTGAGCCTGCATCATTGATTTTAATAAAGAAAAGTATGCTTCTGAGAAGATAAGCAAGCTCACTGGTCTATGGTCATTTAAACTATACATGAGAAGTTTAGTTGAGGGTGAGTATTATACTGTGGAGAGCATCTTAGTCACAGTGCTGAGCAACTCTCCATCTTAGGCAGGGATCAGCCTGGTTTTCTTGTTTCCTTTGAGGAGGGATGGATCCTAATGCAGGAGGCCAAACTTCTTTTATTCACAAGAAGGTTTTACTTGGAGCTTCATTCTCTTGTTAGGATCGTGCCCAATGGCACCTCATGAGACTTGGTTTCATTGGAAAGATTTTGCTGTAGTCAGTGGACTTACATGCAAAAGGACGCTTTTCATCTTGAAAAGAGAGTGTGGACCCAGAGATCAAGTGCAGACCCACGGAGTCATGTGGGTCTGCCACATTCTTCTCGTGGACACTGACATATGTCCGTCTCCTAGACATGAGTCCTTGTGTGTTACACATGGTCGCCTTGCCATGTAGATGTCTCCATGGAAACATGCTTCCCCTGCTGTTTCCTCCTCCGGGGCTTCTCTCCCACGTTTCAGGAGTTCCGTCCACGTATTTGCCGCAAGGGAACATGTCTTTGGACATATTCTGTGTAGCCCTCGTGGGCCTCGCCAGCCTGCTGGTGGGGCAGAGTGCCTCCCACGCCTCTCCTGGCACACCAGAGTAGTGGTTCCTTGGTGTGCTGGCACTGCTGGTGTTACTCCTGGATGAGGGCTGCAGTGGTCAGGGAGGACAGCGGGGACACTGCCACCATGGCGCCCAGGTGCAGAGCCACTTGCCTCAAGGCCCACCAAGCAGCTTTACTAGTCCTGACCTTCAAGAAATTAGAAGTGTATAGTGTCAACATTTAGTCTTCATACGTTTTAGTTATAAAGTTTACCAGTATAAACAGTGTACTGGTATCTATGTTGCTATTAGAAAAATATAACAGACTAGCCAATGGGGAGGACGAGCTAGTTGTGAAGCTCTTCAGAGGCCCAGCAGAGTGAGCCCCAGGGAAGTCCCTGTGTGTCCCTGCGATGGGGAGGGGAGAGCCGGCTCCCAGGGGCGCGTGAGCACACAGGGGCCCCATAGGGGTCCTTGAGTCCTTCCGAGGTAATAAACCCAGAGAAGAAGCTGACTATTCTGGTCGCTTGTCATTTTCCTGCCTGTGCACAGGATTTCCTTATCGCCCCGTGCGTGTGTTCTGATGAAAGAGGAGCCCAGGGACACGGTGTGGAGTGACTTCCTCCTGGGGGGAGACTGATGAGGACTGGAGAGCAAGCCACGCCGCGCGCTCCCTTCCTTTCCGCGCCGCAGGCCACGCTATGCTCCCTTCCTTTCTGCCGGCCACACTGCGTGCTCCCTCCTTTCCCAGCCGGAGGCCACACTGTGCTCCCTTCCTTTCCGCGCCGCAGGCCACGCCGCACTCCTTCCTTTCCGAGCCGCCGGCCACCCTGCGTGCTCCCTCCTTTCTGAGCCGCTTCTCCAGAAGCATCTTCCTCCTGTTTACAGCCTCTGCCTTGCTCTCAGACAAGTTTTTTTTTTTCCCCAGAAAGCAATTTAAAGTCCTCAGTTTCCTTTGCATGTCCTTACATAATGGACATTTCCATATTACTAAAGTTCTTTGCAATCCTGACTCCTAGGCCCTGCCTGAGCCCACATGCTGTTCTGCTATATGTAATGTTCGTACAGTGTACTTGTTGATGTTTGTGCAGCCTGTCCAACTGATTAACTTTACAAGATCAGCTAGAAAATAGCGTTGAAAATTTTTTAAAAATTCAGTTTTCCTGGAACACAAAAGAAGGTAAAATTCCTATCAACTGCTTCTTTCTCTCCGTTTCTCCACAGAACCATCCGAGTCTGGCTGAAGAGAGACAGCGGTCAGTACTGGCCCAGCATCTACCACACCATGGCCTGTAAGTGGCTGAGCTGCTCCACCTGAGGAAGAAGTCGCCAGTGTTTTTGATGATTTAAATTTCAAAATGTCTGATTAAAAATTACTGCTAGGGCCGGGCGTGGTGGCTCACACCTGTAATCCTAGCACTCCGGGAGGCTGAGGTAGGCCGATAGCATAGGCTCACCAGTTTGAAACCAGCCTGAGCAAAAGCAAGACCTTGTCTCTACTAAAAATAGAAAAACTGAGGCAAGAGGATTGCTCAAGCCCAAGACTTGGAGGTTGCTATGATGCTGCGGCACTCTACCCAGGGCAGCAGCTTGAGACTCTGTCTCAAAAAAGAAAAAAAAAATTACTACTAGATTTCACAGTGAGTTTCTTAGTTGCCTAATACCTCTGGCAGGTTGCAATAAACTGCAGGAAAACTTTTCTTTTACAAAGGAAGTTGACTCTGGGGCTTAACTGAAGTCGACTTGAGCAAAACTGGGGAAAAGGAACAACAGCCTGTTCCTTCCTAGTTTTCCTGTGTCTTAATTGGGCCAACTTAAACGAGTAGTGACTTTGTACTTAGTAGTAGCTGATATTGGGATGGAAAAAGGATGCCGTAGCTCCAGAGCTTGATGACCAGGCTTTTGCTCACCCTTTTCATCAGCTTTTGGTTGTGTGCCTGGATGTGACCCACGCCCAGTGGGGCGCTGAATCCTGGTGTCCCAAGGAGTGATACAGAAGGCATCCATACCTGCTGATGTCCTTAAGCTTTTGGTCCTCAATGAGGGCTTTTCCTCAGTTACGTATTTCAACATTCAGAGGACTCCTGAGGAAAGAAAAAAGGCTTTGATGTGTGCTGGATGGTCTGTTACTGAAGACCATCATTGAATTTGCCCAAGAAGGGCTTTTTAACACTATTCATAGCTTGGTGATCCAGAGCCCAGTCAATCTGTGCCGTTCTTACACCCACCACTCTTGTTGGGTGTCCGTGCTATCTTCCATGCCGTTATCCTTTCCACAAACAGTTACTACTGATTAGGAATTTTCATTTCTTCTGTGATCTTCTACCAATAGCTCAGGCAGGCCAGGTAGGCTCTCTTTTTTAATAATCATTCAAGGAAAATGAATGATTTTCAGAACACCAGTATAAAGATAACTATTACAAAAGGAACAGTAAAATTTTATCTATTCACCTATTTATTTTTAATTTTTTTGAGACAGAGTCTTACTCTGTCGCCCTGGGGTTGAGTGCTGTTGTTACTGGAATTTCTTCTTCAGTAAGTTCTTGGGGATTTGAAGAATGAACCCCACAGACTACAGCATAGCAGTAAGATAGGATTTCTTTTAGACAGAAAGGAATATAGAAGGAGTAAAAAGTACCAGAGATTCTGACACAGGGGAAGACCCAAGTCAGAAGTCTCCCCCCGGGCCCTTTGTCTGGGGGTGTATATTACATCTTGGCCAGGGCTTGGTGGATGGAAAAATACCTTCACAAACGTAATGAGTGTATAAACAAAGGAATGGATGCAGTCCCTCCCCTAGAGCAGGGTTATTAGGTTCTTGCAGTTTTGTCTCAAGGAAGGGATTAGGGTGTGTGCTCTCTACTCAGTGTGGGAATTAGGATGCTCTTTACACCCAAAATGTTTCAGGCTGCTTTGTTCATGACCTTGCTAGAGCCCAGAGGGTGTGACCTGGAAAGGGCAGCCTGTTTGTGCCTAGAGATGGGGGTCTGATTTCTGAGCTCACCTGGGCCTAGAGCATAGGGTGGGCGGCCCCTGTCCAGCCCTGAGCTGGGAAATCCTGTGGTGTCATCATAGGTCACAGTAGCCTCAAACTCCTGGGCTCAAGTGATCTGCTTGCCTCAGCCTCTGGAGTAGCTGGGACCCACCATAACACCCGGCTAATTTTTCTATTTTTAGTAGAGATGGGGTTTCACTGTTGCTTAGGCTGGTCTTGAACTCCTGAGCTCAAGTAATCCACCTGCCTCAGCCTCCCAGAATGCCAGGATTACAGACGTGAGCCCACCAGACCCAGCTAGTAAAACTACAATACATAGCACAATTGACAACTACTTGAAAGTTTGTCCATAATTTATTGTGCCATACAGAAGCGTCTCCTTATTACCTATGTCAGCATATACTGTGAATGGTAACCTTGGTATCTCACAGCGAATTCTCACCTTGAACTATGAAGTGACTGATGTCTTAGTAAAGGAGCTTAGGGAACCTGTTTGACAAATTTACGTAGGGAATACTGAGAGCAGGGCTGAGCTGGATGGGATACCCTTGGCCTCTGAGCCTGCTACCCTTTACCCAACCAAAAAAAAAAAAAAGGCTCTGTTAAGCTGATAACTCCTTATTTCCCAAAGGTCCATTGATAGATAAGATAGCTGGAAATAGCAATAGCCTGAGGACTTCATACCAGTGCGAGGGAATGTTTGGCCATCATTGTGGAAAATCTCATTAATGCGATTGTGCAACTGTGATTATTCCCCCCATCCCCACACTTCCCCCATGGTTGATATTTTGGTCATAGCTTAATCTTGAGCCCTCTGCCTTGGGGTTCATGCTTATTAAAACAGAAATAGACCAAGACGGATTTTGTCTTATATTTAGTTCACTTCTTGGCATGCATTTCCCCAGATATTTACTACAGCATTACAAATAATTTCGCTCCCACCAAAACCCTACCATCTGAAATGTGTGTTCTCTCCTGCCTGCTAGATCTTGGACGAGTGGCTGCGGCCATCTCTGTCCCCAAGTTGACTTAACTGTCTCCTCCCCAGCTTAGCAGCCATGGCTTCTCTGCAGAGCGTGGCTGACACCTGCACACCAGCACAGTTGTATCTGCACATGTTCGGCTTGTTGCTTCCAGATGCTTCTATATTGTCTCCACTTGGACCTGGATCTAAGCTGCGAGAACAGCACGAGAAGGAAACAGAGTGAACAGATTATGAAAAATAACTGCTTGTCTGTTTTATAAAAGCATTTATTTTAAAATTAAGATTGAAAATATGAGAAGAAAAGTACCATGTTGATTTAAAAAACTATCTTCAGATTACCTAACTTAGGATGTTTTACTGGTTATCCACCAAATGAAACATTTTCCCATGACCTGACAGTGATCAGTAACCCAAACCTGGCCAGGTGTAGCACTCTGGGAGGACGAGGCAGGTGGATGGCTTGAGCTCAGGAGTTTGAGACCAGCCTGAGTAAGAGGAAGACCCCATCTCTGCTAAAAATAGAAAAACTAGCCAGGCATTCTGGTGAGGGTCTGTTTCCCAGCTACTCAGGGAAGCTGAAGCAAGAGCACTGCTTGAGCAAGAGTTTGAGGTTGCTGTGAGCTATGATGCGACAGCACTCTAGCCTGAGGTAACAGAGTGAGACTCTGGGAAAAAAAAAGACCCAAACAGCATATGTGTATTGCGATATGTAGTCCAACTATGTTCCATAACATTACCCAACATACCAAAAATAAGTTTCAGAATCTGTCTGTCATGTGCTTTGTGCTGTTTTTGATACTATCATTTTTATGAGATCATCCCAATAGCTATGCAAGGTAGATGAGATTTTTACTTGTGAGAAGACCGAGGCCAGAGGGGCTAAGGTGATTGCTTGTGGTTGTAATTCCAGATCATGCCTGTCTGTGACCACAGTTATAGTGTGGGATGGTGCCACAAACTCCTTTTGCAAAGGGCCAGATGGTAAATATTTGGACTGTGGGAATTACTCAGCTCTGCCGTGTAGCGTGAATGCAGTCATAAACAACACAGGCTTAGATCACGGAGGCCAGCGTAAAAATACAGAAATGCAAGCGCCTGGCTGTGTTCTAAGGAAAACAAAGATTTCTTATTTCTTCCTTTCCTTTCCTTTCTTTCCTTCCTTTCCTCCTTTCCTCAGCCTCCCAAGTAGCTGGAACTACAGGTACCTGCCACAACTCCTGGCTAATTTTTCTGCTTTTAGTAGAGAGAGGTCTCTCTCTTGCTTAGGCTGGTTTTGAACTCCTGAGCTCAAGGGGATCCTCCTGTCTCAGCCTCAGTGAGGCACGAGCCACTGCTCCAAGACTTTGTTAACAAAACATACAGTAGACTGGGATTTGGCCCTCTGGCCTGATTCAGAGTTGTGAGCCTTTGATTTTGGACTGTAGAGTTGCCTTTTTAAAAATTCACTGATCTGGCTCGGCGCCTGTGGCTCAAGCGGCTAAGGCGCCAGCCACATACACCTAAGGTGGCGGGTTCGAATCCCCAGCCCGGGCCCGCCAAACAACAATGATGGCTGTAACCAAAAAAATGGTGTTGTGGCGGGCGCCTGTGGTCCCAGCTACTTGGGAGGCTGAGGCGGGAGACTCGCTTGAGCCCCGGGAGTGGGAGGTTGCTGTGAGCGTGATGCCATGGCACTTTACCCAGGGGGATAGCTTGAGGCTCTGTCTCAAAAAAAAAAAAAAAAAATTCACTGATCTGAAATATGCTTTGTGTTTTGTTTTGTGAATATACAACCTTCCCTTCTATTTTAAACTTACATTGCTTATCTTGATGGAAACCTTTAAGGAAGAAAGCCAGGACATCATTTATACAAAACAAACAAGAGAAGCTTTTTTTTTTGGTAGGTAAAAATTCTCAGCTAGGCAAGGTGATTTCACCTCTAATCCATGTGAGCACAGTTCTCAAGACCAGCCTGAACAAGTGTAACACCCTGTCTCTACTAAAAATAGAAAAATTAGCTAGAAATTATGGTGGGCATTTGTGGTCTCAGCTACTAGGGAGGCTGAGGTAGGAGGCTCTCTTGAACCCAGGAATTTCAGATGGCTGTGAGCTAGGCTGGAGCCATAGTACACTAGCCTGGACAACAGAATAAGACTCTATCTCCCCGCCCCCCTCCAAAAAAAAAGAAAAGAAAAGAAAAAAAAAATTCTCTAGTCTCATAAAATTACTCAGCACTTTACACAAAAGAAAGATTTTATGGCTAGGTGCAGTGGCTCATGGCTATAATCCTGGTACTCTGAGAGGCCGAGGCAGGTGGATCTCTTGATCTCAGGGGTTTAAGACCAGCCTGAGCAAGAGTGAGACCCTGTCTCTATAAAAAATAGAAAAATTAGCAAGGCATTGTGGTGGGCACTTGTAGTCTCAGCTACTTAGGAGGCTGAGGCAAGAGGATGGCTTGAACCCAGGAGTTTGAGGTTGCTATGAGCTATGATGCTACAGTACTCTACCCAGACAACAGAGTGAGATTCTGTCTAAAAAAAAAAAAAAAAAAGGATTTATGCTTTTACGTAGTTTGTTATAGGGTTGAGCATAAAAAGAATTGAAAAAAAGCTGAAAACTAATGTATTAAGATTTATTACCAACAAAGAGCAAGCAAAAATGATGAGAGTGAATCTCTGGAATCATCAGAGCATGATTTAATTATATGCATAGTTATAAAAGAGCCTTTTGATTGTGTGAGGTTGTGTATATCTGTGTGTTTATAATTCTTAAATATAGTTGCTCTTTTAATCTGAAGCATCAGTATTGTGAATAAGGGTATATGGGCTTATAGTGAATTCTAATTGTTTTGTGCACAATTTCAATACTTATTATAGGTTTGTTTTGTTTTGTTTTTTGTTTGAGTCTCACTCTGTTTCCTTAGGCTAGAGTACCATGGCTTCAGCCTAGCTCACAGCAACCTCAGACTCCTGGTTTCAAGCAGTCCTCCTGAGTAGCTGGGACTACAGGCACCTGCCACAATACCCAGCTAATTTTTCTATTTTTAGTAGAGATGGAGTCTAACTCTTGCTCAGGCTGGTCTCCAACTCCTGACCTCAAGCAGTCAGTTGTCTGGCCTTGGACTCCCAGAGTGCTAGATAGGTATGAGCCATCAGGCCTGGCCACTAGAAGTTTTTGAGTGCAGTGGGAAATAGTCTTTTTCTGTGATCTGATCATGTAGTTAGCTGTTTTAGCTTTGGGGTACAATCCAGTATTATAGATTACTTTCTTTCTTTGGTGGAGAATATTGGCCCATTGTAGACAAAGAACTTTATATTCAGATGGTGGGTTCATTTAGAAGACTTTTTTTTTCCCCTTTAAGAGATAGAGTCTCTGTCACTTGGGCTTACAACTTTAACTCCTGGACTTGAGGGATGCCCCTGCCCCAGCCTCCTATAGCTAGGACTATAGGCACGTACCACCATGTGTGGCTAATGTTTTTAATTTTTTGTAGAGCCTTGCTGTGTTACCAGGCTGGTCTTGAACTCCTGGCCTCAAATGACCCTCTTGCCTCGGCCTCCCAGAGTGCTGGTATTACAGGCATGAGCCACTGTGCCTGCCCTCTTTTACTTTTTTATGGGAAGTTTTTATTTCAAAGTAAACTTAAGTTCATCTGTTTTGCTTTGTTTTTTCCTGGTATGCGTTTCCTTTTTATGGTTCTTCCATTGTTAACATTCTTTAGGCTAAAATGAACCCAAGCACTTCTTTTCATTCTATTTTATAAACCACTTTAATTCTGATTTTTAGCAGGGGAAGACAGTTCAGAGTTTCTTCTTTCAGAAATTCATTCTCTGGCCCATGATTCATGGAAGGATGGGTAGAACGTGGAAGGGGTGTATGTATAAGAGGCATGTGTTTTTCTAGGAGCATAACGATGCCTCAGACTCCAGTTACTACAAACTGAATTGTGTGTGTCATCGCAAAAGGGAGCATTTTTCACCATTGGGGAAAAAGTAATCCTGAAGTGGCTTCCCCAGCTTGCCATGGAATGAATGGGCATTCTGCTGCAGGGAACTCATCTTTGCACACATTCCAGCTATTCTCTGACCTGCCATGGGCAAGGGTGACATGGACCGGATGAGCTGCTGAACTCTGAGGGGTCAGATCACCCTGAGTCTTAAGCCTTGTTGCGCACAGGTGGGGCGTTTC